AATCCAGGGACACTCAATCAGAATGGCAAGAGATAAGATGCCAAGACTATAAAAAGAATTTAAGGAGCATATGGGACACTATTAAGGGTCTAGATATCTGTCTGATCAGCATAACAAGAAAATCAAGATGTTGAACAGCCATTTGAAGAAATGATGGAAAACTTCCTGAACTTGGTGTAGGAAATGGACATAAAATCCCAGGAAGCTCAGAGAATTCCAAAAATCAGGGATCCAAAGAGGCCCACACCAAGACACATCATAATTAAAATGCCAAAGGTTAAATACAAAGAAAGAATATTAAAAGCATCAAAACAGATAATTACCTTTAAGGGAACACCCATAAGACTGGCAGCTGATTTCTCAAAAGAAACTATGCAGGACCGAAGGGCTTGGCAAAAAATATTTGATAGAATGAAGACCCAGGATCTACAACCAAGAATAATTAATCCATCAAAGCTGTCATTTGGAGTTGAAGGACAGATAAAGAGCTTTCCAGATAAAAATAAGATGAAGGAATTTATCAACACTAAGCCAGTATTGCAGCAAATGTTGGAGGGACTTCTTTAAGAAGAAAAAACGTATGAAAAACAGGAATAAAGAATGGTAACAACTACATTCCTATCAATAAGTACCTCAAATGGAAAAGAATTAAGTTCTCCAACCAAAAGATAGAGTGGCTGAAAAGGTAAGAAAACAAGACTCCTACATATGAAAAGGAAGGGGATAGAAAAACATACTGCTTTCATGGACCTAGAAAGTATTTAAGTTAGAGAAAGATAAACACTATATGATTTCACACTTATATGCGGAATCTAAGGAATAAAAAGAACAAACTAATCAAAAACAGACTCACAAATATAGTGGACAATTAGTTGTCATACAGAGGGAAGGGGGTTTCAGGGGGTTGGGAGATTGGGGTGAAGGGCTAAAGAAGTACAAATTAGTAGCTGATGGATGGTCATGGGAATGGGGAGCCCGGCATAGAGAATGCAGTTAGCATCAATACACTGACTAGGTGGAGGGTCAGGGGAAGGAAGGTGCAATTGGGGGGATCGTTTTATGAACTATATAGATGTCTAACTAATGTACTATATACTTGAAACTAAAAAAATAATTTAAAAGAAAAAACCATATTGAATTAATTTTGAGGAAATGGATTTGTATTGTTGATTATTTTCCCTTAAAATCTTTACCATATAATAATGAGAACACTCAGAAAGCTTACCCTTGTTTCTTTTATAGAATTGCCATGGGACCAGCCCAGTGACAGTTGTCAGGAGTATTCCGATTGGAAAGAAAAAAAAACATACCTCAACCCTTGGAAAAAAATTGATTCTGCTCCTCTAGGTAACTGGGTTATCTTAATTGAAAATACTGATTTCTTGGATAATGAATCCTAGTGCTATTTGATTTTTTTTCTTATAGTTTTTTTTAACTTTTAAATGATCATGTAAATAATCCATGAACCTTGCAGATAAGTTTTTAAGTAAAAAATTAAAAACAAAAAACCGATTCTGTAATACCAGCACTCAGAAATAGCTTTTGATATTTTGATATGTGCTTCTATACTTTGTTGTGAAAATATGTAACTCTGTTATATATATTTGTTATATATGTATACTATTTATAAGTATTTGTGTTTTTACAAAAAAATAAGATCATACTACACATGCTATTTTGTAACCTGTTTTTTTGTGTGTGTTAATGCTTTGTGAGCTTTTTTCCAGGACTGTAGTTGCAGGTCTACATCATTGTTTTCAAAGGCTGTGAAGGTATTCTGTTATATGGATATGCCTTACTATACTCATCCAATTCACTTTTTTAGAGATTTAGATTTTTTTCTAATTTTTCATTGTTACGAAAGAGATATGATGATCATCCATATAACTTAATCTTTGTGCATACCTTTAAAATATTTAATTGAAATAAAACCCCGGAAGTGGAATTGCAGGGTCAAGGATGTATGCAGTTTTTAATTTTTATGGTTAACTGCCAAATTGCTTTTCAGAAAGCCTGTACCATTTTATCACAATCGCATTAATTTACATTTAAAAAATATTTGACTAACCTAATAGGCCTATAAAAAGTATATTTACTGTTTTATGGTTTTATTTTAAATTTGGCATCAATGGTTATATGTCCATTATATACTTACTAGTTTTTTAAACATAATTTCATTTGATCTTTGCGTTTGTTAAAATATTTTTCAGCAATTTGTCATGTATTTTTATTTTGTTTATGCTATTCGACATGCCAAAGTTTTATATTTTTATTTATTTAAATCTATCATCTTGTCCTTTGTGATTCCTGACTGTATTGTCATATTTGGAAAGGTCTTTTCTACCTCTTAACATTAGAGAAAAATTCTCTATATTTTCATTTGTCTTTTTATGACTTAGTTTTTTCATTTAAACCTTTCATTACAAACTGATTTTGATAGTGGGAGATGTATTAATTCTTTATCAAGATAATTAAGATACCTTAAGATGCCAGAAAGTAAATTTTCCTTGTAAAATTGTGAATGAGGACTTGTGAACAATGAAATTTGGTATTGAAAATGGATGAGGGTTTTTGTATTTTTTTTTTAATGTTATTTGTGGAGAAACATTTCCATCTAGCTCTATGCTACTTCTTTGCAAATAACTGAGAATCAAATCTAGGAAGACTATTTTAAGCAAAAAATAATTGCATGAAAGTAAAGCAATGATTTAGTAGCTTTATTCTTTTTCTTCCCTAGAAATAATATTTGGACATAAGGAGACCAAGAGAGAATGTGTTCTGTACCACAAACTAGGCTTTTCCAATCTGCATGACTTTTGTAAATGTCTTAATGTTTTGTTTTCAGCTCTGTTGCATAAAATCCTAGTTGAGAATCCATCAGTAAGGATTACCATCCCAGATATCAAAAAAGATAGATGGTACAACAAACCACTCAAGAAAGGTAATATCCTTAAAATTACAACTATTTTTTTTTTTTCTGTGAAAGAAAAGGTACTTGCAAAGTCAGTATCACAAGTCAACAATATAAGATAGCTGTGGTCTCTGCCCTCATTGAGATTATAATGTCTAGTAAGAAAAACCAATATAAAAAAATGATTTTAAGTTTACTGATAATTATAAAGTCAAAAGTCAGGGTACTGTAGCTTTTTGACAAAATCTGAAGAGACAGAGAAAACTTGTCTTCCTGAGGAAATCACATTAAATCTAAGATTTGAAGAGTAAAGAAGAGCTAGCAAGATGAATACTACCAAGATGAGTGGCAGATTCTGAACATACGAAGCAGGCTTTGGAACATCTTAAAGTTTAGAAAGTAGTGTATTTGAGGAACTTGAAAGAAGGCTGGTGTGGCATGGACCATGGACCAAGTCTGGCTTATTCATCATTGTATCACAAGTGGTTAGCATAATGTATGATACATTGTAGGCACTCAGTAAATGTTTGTTGAGTAAATGAGTGAGCATGTTAGGTAGCTGGTCAGACATGAGGAACAGGGGATCAAAGCCTAGAGACTGCCCAAAGAACACTCTATTGGTAGTTAGAGAATCCCTCCTGCATCCCCAGAGACAAAGGATAGGAAGGCCATAATCTGTAGCTGGTTTAATTCAGCCACAGACACATGCGCAGAAGGTACTACCCTAACCTGCCCACAACCTCAGCCTCATTATACCGTCATTATAATATCATGCCTATGCCTGGAAGTTCATGAATCTAATTATAAAGGACTGAATTCTGGGTAAGCACATGTACACTAGGCAAAGTGTTATACAGCAGCCAAATGTCAATCAAAATGGCCTCAAATGCCAGTCACC